AAGGCTATCTAATAGACCATTAACCATGCCAGAGTGCATGGTTCACTGGATCGAGTAACTGCGTCATTCGAATAACGAAATCAGAGACGCGAAAACGACCCACATCCTCGAATGGTGTTTTCCTCGTGCTCAACGGGGACAGGAAATTCGCTAAGTGAACCCAGAAGTTGTAGAATTTCCAGAAAATCCAGAGTACATCGACTCCTTGTGCTGAAATCGAGACGGCTTCCATGAAACTGGCTATTAAACTACATTACCTCGTGATATAGGACAATTTCCTCTTTGATATTTATCCCGTCTGACATTAACATTGCGAGAACGATGTTAAAAAGATATTAGTTTCAAGAGCTTTATCTGGCGGCGGAAGTTGAACTAGTTTTAAAAATAACTTCTCAGCGATATATCATCATAAATTTTTGTTAGTAGCTTTTATTTTGTTTAGGAGGGTCATTAGGTGGTGTGAAGTTGATAGGTAATTATTTTGATGCAAGGGGAGTATTATTTATGGAGTTGGTAAACTGTGGTATTATGCACTGGGGCCGTTTTGGGATAATTATGAAGTTGTAAGGCATAGTAAGAGATGAATAGTCATCAATTCCCTATGTCTCCAAATCTCTACATCTCTAAATTTCTATGCTTTCAAATCTCTACATCTTAATTCCTCACATTCTCAATTCCCTATATCCCCATTTCCCTCCATCCCCAATTCCCTACATCCCTAATACCTCACACCCTCAATTCCTCACATCCCGAATTCCTCATATCTCCAATTCTTCACATCCCTAATTCCTCACATCCCGAATTCCTCACATCCCCAATTCCTCACATCCCCAATTCCTCACATCCCGAATTCCTCACATTCCCAATTCCCCACATCCCGAATTCCTTACATTCCCAATTCCTCACATCCCGAATTCCTCACATCCCCAATTTCTCATATCCCGAATTCCTCATATCTCCAATTCCTCACATTCCCAATTCCTCACATCCCGAATTCCTCACATCCCCAATTCCTCACATCCCGAATTTCTCACATCCCCAATTCCTCACATCCCCAATTCCTCTCATCCCCAATTCCTCTCATCCCCAATTCCTCTCATCCCCAATTCCCTACATTCCGAATTCCTCACATCCCCAATTCCTCACATCCCCAATTCCTCACATTCCCAATTCCTCAGATCCCCAATTCCTCACATCCCCAATTCCCTACATCCCCAATTCCTCACATCCCCAATTCCCTACATCCCCAATTCCTCACATCCCCAATTCCCTACATCCCCAATTCCTCACATCCCCAATTCCCTACATCCCCAATTCCTCACATCCCCAATTCCCTACATCCCCAATTCCTCACATCCCCAATTCCCTACATCCCCAATTCCTCACATCCCCAATTCCCTACATCCCCAATTCCTCACATCCCCAATTCCCTACATCCCCAATTCCTCACATCCCCAATTCCCTACATCCCCAATTCCTCACATCCCCAATTCCCTACATCCCCAATTCCTCACATCCCCAATTCCCTACATCCCCAATTCCTCACATCCCCAATTCCCTACATCCCCAATTCCTCACATCCCCAATTCCCTACATCTCCCAACTCCTATATTTCAAAATCCCTCACCCCAAAATTCCTACACCTCAAAATCCTTGAATCCTCTAAATCCTCTAAATCCCCAAATCCATCTCAAATTTCCACATCCCCTAATCCCTATAATCCTACATCTCCCCCCACCCCAATATCCCTATATCCCCATCCCCGTCCCCTACATCCGCCGTCTACATCAACACCTAATTTCCATCTCGAAGTATCTATATAAAGAATCTACAAAGAGAACAACAAGAACATAGTAGTCATTTAAAATTCGATCGATCGCAAAACGTCACCGTTGAAATCGTCCGTCGAACGATTCACTTGTGGAAGGGAAACAGATAAGAAGAACAAAGCTGGCAGTCGAAGTTAGGATTGCGAGACAGGTGGCCGAGTAATGCTCACCGCGTGTAAAAACCTCTACGATCGGATCATCTTTTACCGTCGCGCTCAGAAGAAACGGCTATGAGAACACGGTGTAATATAACGCAGTGTCCGCGCGAAGATTACCTTTTTATTCGCTGGTTTAATACCTCATCAAGGGTGATCACCGGGCAGGAACGATTGCTGGTGTCGTTGCAGGACTTGGAGTATGATTAAAGATATTTTTGTAGAAGAACTGTGTTTTGTGCTGTTTGACTGACTGATTTCTGGGGAGCTTTTGGTACTTTTTGAAGGTTATTAAGGTATTATTATTTTGAAGACGTTTTTTAATTTTTGATTGATTTTATGTGTATGAGGGTTGACTTGGTTAGGTTTATGATTGAGTAGATATTTAAATAGGTTTCTGTTTTATTTGTGTTTGTCCACATGAGGATTGGCTTAGATACTTGGTCTACTTCTTTGTCCAAGATTCTACTTTTCAAGATTTGTCTAAAATTTTTTTTTCCAAGACTTGTCAAGGTTCTCATTTATCTAGATTTGTCAAGATTGCTTTTTATCTAAACTTCTCTTCATCTGGATTCCTATTTGCATAGATTTGCCCAAATTCCTGGAACCCTACTTGCCCAGATTCATACTTATTCAGATTCCTGTGTTCCTTTGAATTTGCCCTGATTTCTATTCTGCCCGATTTGGATCTTTCTAGGCACCTATTTTCCCAAATCCCTATTCGTCCAGATCCCTATTTGACCAAACATTTATTTGTTTAGGACCCTATTCACCTAGAATCATATTCGACCGAATTCCTATGTGCTCAGATGTGGATCTGTCCATATTTCTGATTAGTCAGATTCGGATCTTTTGAGATCCCTATTTCATCAAATTTCTATTTGCTCAAATTCCTATTTTCCCAAATCCCTATTCGTCCCTGTTCGTCCAAATAGGATGTATATATTCGTCCCTATTTGTCCAAATCCTTATTTAGCCAAATATTTGTTTGTCTAGAACCCTATTCAGCTTGATCCACATTCAACCCTCTGCACTACTATGTCGAGTGTGACTCAACATTACATTTCTCTTGGATCTTATAAATAATTCAGATATAAGTTGTATATATTTTCATTTACCTACTATTTATAATAAACGAAAAATGTATTTGTCACATACTCCACACTGTTGCAATATATTTTACTGAGAACCCCTAATGTACTTTATAAATGAAGAACCTGATAGCTAATAGAAATTAATGAGTGCGAAGGTCCACATGAAAAGCTCGTTATCCCCATACTCGACGAAGAATAGCACACCAGACTTAATTTCAATATCCAAATGTCGAGGAAGCCGATAATGGAACGTGCGAGAAAACAGTGCCGGGTCCATTCGCACGGTTGAATTAATTAAACGTTTCCCTTGTTGCGGGAAAGAAACCAACTTCCGGTACGACGTCGAATCGAGCGGTTCGTTGATTTTGATAAGCTCGCAATGTTCTCGTTGAGCCGAGCGGTTAACGCAGCCGCTGGTCATTTGTCTGTGGAAACGTTAACACCGACCACATCCGAATTGCAAATTCTGTGATAATGGAAGACGTGCGGCTGAATATAAACCAGCACTCCGCCACCTTTGTGCACGCGAACCGTTTCTTTAACGACCATGTGAACGCCGTTAGGGTCAGCTCCACGAAAATTAGCTGCTGTTTGCAAACGGAATTATTTCAAAATTCTTGTTCGCATTTATCATCCTATTCATTTTCAAGCTCTTTAGAGTTTTTAGAATTTTTACCAGTTTCTACAATTTTTGTAAATTTAGAGATTTTTTATGTTTGTTAAAAATGAAGATGTTCGTGTGTTCAGTGTGAACATTTTCCAAGTTACATATGTGGAAAGTTACAGCTAATTCAACTTCCTCAGAAATTTTTGAGGTTATGAAATTCACTATATTTTAATTTCATTCTAAATCCATGACAATTACATGCAAATTAACTCTGAACGAATTTATAATAGAAACATAATACACATATGTAACTTATTATGTTCCTGAACGAATTTATAATAGAAACATAATCCACACATATAACTTATTATGTTCCTGAACGAATTTATAATAGAAACATAATCCACACATATAATTTATTATGTTTCTGAACAAATTTATAATAGAAACATAATCCACATATGTAACTTATTATGTTTCTATTATAAATTCGTTCAGAGCTAATTTGTATGTAATTGCCATGGGTTTAGAATGAAATTAAATTATAGTAGATTTCATAACCTCAAAAATTTTCTGAGGAAGTTGAATTAGTAACCTTACTAATTTACGTCAATTCGGATGTAAATTCAGAACTTCACATTCAGATGCATATTGATAGTTAGACAACATTTATATAATTCACAAGATGTATATAAATAGTAACACTATTAATTGTAACACTACTAATTATACTCAGAGTAACAAACTCTCAGTGCAAATAAAAAATGTTATACAAAGAGTACAATATATGTTTATATTTAAAATATATGTTCATATTTTTCTTCTCACAATTACATGTTTTACAAAAAGAAATAAGGACGTCACATGCAGAACCACAAACGCTCCATCACGAAAGCCTTCCATTTTGTTGAACGTTCACCTCACTCTTCTCCAAACTTCCCTTTATCAATTACACATGTATCTGTCCGTATCAAAGCGTTAAACGCGTCGTTAATCCGAGCTGTCAGACAGAACCAGTTTTCGTTATTTACGTTCTCGTAACGCAAAACGCCCGGCACTAAACGGGACCAAACAGCGATATTGGAGCGAGAAAACACAGCACGGATTAACTGCGTTGTACAAGCGTTGCAGTTGTAGTACCTTGGACCTCATTCGGCAAGATACTAAATGCGTTTCTGCAGGTTCGATAAACACGCTTCGGCAACAGCTGTTGCGTGTAATCGCCTTGCATCGGTGATTTATCGGAAACAGCCCGGGCATTAAAAAGCGTTCTTAGCGAAGGTAATTGCGACAGAATGCGGATGTTTGTTTTCAGGAAGCGAAGAGGCAAAGGTGAGGAAGGCTGTGGTCTTCTAGCGAAACTTTGGGCGAAGAAAACGGGCCAAGGTTGAACTAGGCTGAGGAATTTCCGGCTTCTAAACCGATGAGCGGTTGTTTGAAACTACTGGTTGCTTTGCGTGCAGTTTATCGTCGTTTGTAATAGCAAACGCGAGGTGGATGTCGAACTTTACTATGGCAGTGGACAGCCTTTGTGGAGACACGAAAGGTATGATGGTTTATGCAAAACTTTGTGTAATTATAGAGAATGTGGTGGTGGAGAGAAGTGGTGGAGGGAAGAGTTTGGTGAGGATTTATGTGTTGGGGATTTTTCAGAAATTTTGTTAAGAGACGTTGAGGGTTTGGGGATGTGGGAATTTGGAGATTTTGGGATTTGGGAATTTAGGAATTTGGGGATCTGAGGATGTGGGCATTTAGGGATTTGAGGATTTAGGAAATTGGGAATTTAGTAATCTGGGGATTTAGGGATCTGGGGATCTGAGGATATGGGGATTTAGGGATTTGGGGATCTGAGAATATGGGGATCTAGGGATTTGGGGATCTGAGAATATGGGGATCTAGGGATTTGGGGATTTAAGAATTTGGGGATTTAGAAACTTGGGAATCTGACGATATGAGGATTTAGAGATTTGGGAATTTAGAGATTTGGAGATCTGAGGATGTGAGGAATTAGGGATTTGAGGATTTAGAAATTTGGGGATTCAGGAATTTGGGGATTTAGGAATTTGGAAATTTAGTAATTTGAGGATTTAGAAACTTGGGAATCTGAGGAGGATATGGGGATTTAGAGATTTGGTAATTTAGGAATTTCAGCGTTTAGGAATTTGGTGATCTGAAAATGTGGAAATTTAGGGATTTGGGAATTTAGAAATTTGGGGATTTGAAAATTTATGGATTTAATCACTATCCAATTTAGAAGTTTAATAAATTGGAATCTAGAAATTTAGGTACTTAGATATTTAAGAATTTAGGGATTTAGGTATTTAGAGGTTGAAGAATTCAGAGATTTAGTTACTTAAAATTTTTTAAATTTAGTGATCTAAGGATTTGGAAATTTGAAAGTTAATTTGGAATTTTAGAGATTTGGTGTTTGAAGTTCTGAAAATTAGTAATTTTCTGAAAATTACTAGATCCTTCCTAAATCCCTTTTAGATCTTTCCTAAATCCTTCCTAGATTTTCTAAATTTGAAAGTTCACTAATTCTGAAGTTTTAGTGATTTTGAGTTAGAAGTTCTGAAAATTCCTTGATCCTTCCTAAATCCTTCATAAATCCTTCTTAAATCCTTCTAAGATCTTTCCTAGATCCTTCCTAGATCTTTCCTAAATTTCTCCTAAATTTTCTAAATTTTCTAAATTTGAAAGTTGATTGAAGTCTTAGTGATTCTGGGTGAGAAGTTCTGAAAAATGCTATATCCTAACTAAATCCTTCATAAATCGTTCTTAAATCCTTCCTAGATCTTCTCTAGATCCTTCCGAGATCCATCATGAACCCTCCTTATATTCTCTCCATAACTCCCTCTAATTTTCTTCCTCCTTCTCTGTAAAATATCCCTAAACAGCAACGTAACACTGTAGTTCCAGAGCGTTCTCCCATCGACGTGAGGAAGGAACCCAAGGCACATCGAAATTACCATTCTACCGTCGACTAATTGCAATTTCACGGAATTTCCGTCACCCCGGTCGGACGCGTCATGTCGTCCTACGAGGGACGCGTTTACGAGCGGAATCTTACTTGAAGACGCCAATTGGCAAAGGGGATACACGCGGCTTTAGTAGCTCGCAAATTAAAATGTCAACGCCCGCCACGGATCCATTGCCTTCCACCGTTTCCGGGGAACTGACGACCACGCTTATACCAACGGTAACCAAAATCGATACGCGACTGGACGCCAATCCTATCTCGGTGGTTTTGGCGGTATCGATAGTCTGCATTTTATCGCCGATCACCGTCACCGGCAACTCCATTATCCTGGCCGCTTTCTATAAGTACAAGAGGCTCAGGACTGCATCCAATTACTTGCTGGTCTCTTTGGCAGTCAGCGACTTTGGGGTGAGATACTATTTAAGATACTGGTCTGTCTTGAACAGATGGTAGTGCCATCTTCGTTGAGAAATTTAGATGTACTTCCAAGATTATAGTATAGGTTGGCTTTAAATTAACTGTTTGAAGGGATGTTTTATTTTAAGAGAAAAACTTGTAATGGACAATTTTTTAGCACAAGTACTCTTTTTGAAAAGTGATGAGATGTGATGTATTTCATTTGATGAACATATGTATATGGATATACATATACATATGGTATATGGATATACATACATATGTATACATCATATGTGCACATATGTATGTGACATATACGTGATGTATTTCATTTGATGAACATATGTGGATATACATACACATACATGTGGTATAGATATACACATATGTATACATCATATGTGCACATATGTATGTGACGTATACGTGATGTATTTCATTTGATGAACATATGTGGATATACAAACACATACATATGGTATAGATTTACACATATGTATGTAGACATATATGACATAGATATGGTATTGAAAATACATGGAATTAAAAGTATATAATATATAGATCGAATTAAAAATATATACATATGGATAGAGGCAGTTAAATATATATACATGCATGGAAATAAAAATATACATACGGATAGAGGGAGTTAAAAATATATACGTGCATGGAGATAAAAATATATAAATATATGCAGTTAAAAATAAATAAATACATGATTTTAAAAATATATGAATACAAACTTCGAAGGATTTCAAAGATTAATTTATCGAATGGCTTTTGACCAAAGAATGTCATGTCTTTAAAGAATGTAATGGTACAGCACCATGGTTCATCAATGTTTTATGTTATTTTTCATGCATTGTATCGAACATACTAATATATGTAATAATTTATAAACATCATGTAACAAATTTGACGTTTTCTCACAGGTCGGAGTGTTCATGCCCATTGGAATGCAGCTGGAGCTATCCGGCCTACCGGAAAATGGCGTCTCCACGTTGTGCATCATACCGTACTGCATTGTCATCGCTCTGTGTAGCGTGAGCGTGTTGGTGACAGTAGCAATTGCCGTCGATCGGTTGACATCATTAGCACAACCTCTCAGATACAAGAACATCATTACTCATAGCAGCATTGAGAAATATATCGCTGTGTTCTGGATCTATGCGATCGCCGTTGGCCTCTCGCCATTGATATACGCTGAGGTGACTGGAGAAACGGAACAGTACAGGTAATATAATCTTGATTTCGTAGTTAAACAATGTTTTAACAGCTTTAAAAGTTTTGAAAGTCTCAAAGATAATAGTCGAGGAAGATTTTCGTTCGGTAGCGACGAGTGGTTATGTTTTAAGAAGAGTTTACGTAGATAATCTTGCATAAAAATTGAAAATTTATTATTTGGAAATAATACATTAAGTTGGAGGCTTGTTAGAATTAACAGAGTAGTTAACTAGTTAAGTGGACTAATTTTTGGTAATTTATTACGAAGATTTTCGTTTGGTAAGGTCGTGGTTATGTTTTAAAAGGATTTTACGTAGGTGATCTTGTATAAAAATTGAAAATTTACTTTTTGCAAATGATACATTAATTTTGAGGCTTGTTAGAATTAACAGAGTAGTTGACTAGTTAAGTTGACTAATTTCTGATAATTTATTATGAAGATTTTCGTTTGGTAAGGTCGAGGGTAGATTGTAAGAGGATTTTACATAGATGGTCTTGCATAAAAATTGAAAATTTATTATTTGAAAATAATACATTAATTTTGAGCCTTATTAACGGAGTAGTTAACTAGTTAAATAAACTGATTTATTACTAATATTAAAATATATTGAAATTACGGATATTGGACACACGTAGTTTATCACAACGAACAGATAGTATATCATTTTTTATCCACATCATTTGACCTTTGCGTTTCCACATAATAGACTCCTTGAGATAACAGGAATATGAAATTCGAAGGCACGATCCGAATGTATCTTCCTCGATTCCGCACGATAACTGAAGTCTATTCGACAAACATTCTGAAAATTGTTAAAATCAAATTGCTCGGTAGTCACGTTCCTCAAACAGAGATAAAACGATGAATCGAAGGACGAAACTAAGCAATATCATAGCTAGTTCTGATTGAGAATATATCAGTTCATATTTTGTCGATAAGAAAACAGTTTCATTCTTGTAACATCACATATGTGAACACATACATGTATTTCAATGTTCCATATGTGATCACAATTGACTACTTCATGTTATTTAAAACGTACAAATTATGCATTAAATTTTTCCTAATTAAACTGCAATAGTTTAATATTATTATCTAACAATTACATCATTTATTTTTGTAATAATAATAATTTATAATAGGTCGAAATAGAAAGTTAAACTTTTGTTAAACCACATCATTTTTTAGTGCTACATAAGACAATTTACATTTTACTCATTAACAATGCAAAATTAAAAATAATTAATATTCGGTTGAAAAACAAAATACAAAGACCTTGTTCCTTTAATTTTTTAGAAATTATGTATTGAATACAGAACCATCTATTTCTTAGATTTATTCAATGAAGAGAAGAAAATTGAATTCACCCCATAAATATCATAGTGTTATCCAACCGATATGAAATAACAAGCATCGTAACAGGTGTTACATTCGCACAAATGTAACAATCACGATCTAATTTTCTTATATCCATCAAACACCGCATACAATTACCAGTTTACGTAACCCGCTGTTATCCAATACAAAGTTAAACTACAAAGCGTAACATCTATCTCCAATTTCAACAAACATCTTTCCAATAATAAAGAGATCTTTCCATAAAAAAAGAGATCTAAAAAATATATGAATTCTTTTCTATATTACGTGAATACACATATAGAATAAATACAGCAACGGACTTTTATTATCATCAGATTTCGATAGAAACCACCCCTAAATTGTTGGGATTCAATAAAGGCGACCCTCGAATTATAGGACTTATCGATGATAGCCGCTGGTTCGTAAAACTAGATGATGACAGTTCCTGAACTTTCCGAATCATGGAATTCAATCACGAGCTGGACCCAACCTCGACAATAACAATTCCCTAGTCGTAAAGATAATGGAGGGTGAACTGATTTCTTGTTATCGATTTTGAATGACCTATCATATCGTGTATGTGTTTGGGGGTTTTTAGTTTTGAGGTATTTGGGACGCAAGATTTTTGGGGTTTTGGAATTTTGAAATTTGGGGAGATAGGGAGATAGGGAGATAGAGAGATAGAGAGATAGGAAGGTAGGGAAATAGGGAGATAGGGAGATAGGGAGATAGGGAGATAGGGAGATAGGGAGATAGGGAGATAGGCAACTAGGAAGGTAGGGAAATAGGGAGATAGAGAGATAGAAAGGTAGGGAAATAAGGTGATAGAGAGTTAGGAAGATAGGGAGATAGGGAGATAGGGAGATAGCCAGCTAGGAAGGTATTGAAATAGGGAGATAGGGAGATAGGAAGGTAGGGAAATAAGGAGATAGAGAGTTAGGAAGATAGGGAGATAGGAAGATAGGGGGATAGGGAGACAGGGAGATAATAATATAGAGACATAGGGGTATAGGGACATAGGAGTATAGCCACATACGGGTATAGGGTCATACGAGTATAGGGACATAGGGGTATAGGGATATAAGCATATGGAGATCTAAGAATGTAGTCATATAGGTATACATATGTAGACATATGAGGTATGTATATGAGGTAGACATATGTAGACATATGAGGTATACATATGAGGTAGACATATGTAGACATATGAGGTATATACATATATGAGGTAGACATATGTAGACATGTGAGGTATGTATATGAGGTAGACATATGTATATGAGGTTACATACATCCACATATGTAGACATACATGTATAATGTTATAAAGGATATGGTGGCATAGGGATACAGAGATATAGGACGAGGTATGAAAAAATGAACTTCTCTGCATCCCTTCATAATTCTTCAAGTCCACCATACATATCGAACTTCCAACACAATTCCTCGAACTTGCAATATCTCGAACATGCAAAATTGAAAATACTAAACAAAAGGAGGGTTAAAATCGCGGAAGCTGTATGGATATTTCAGCAATGCCGCAATCAATGCTAAACTGTCACATCACGTGTACGGCTAACAAAGGGACGCGTGCTTCATAGAATCGAATTAATTAGACGATGTTGCGATCGCGTGTTAGTTACATAACGAAACCGACTAACGAACCAAACTAATTTGCTTTCTGTTACAGCGGCAATTGTAGATTCGGGGCGGCGGTGCTACCACCGGTGAGGGTGTTCCTGGTGGTCGCAGTATGGGCACCCAGTGCTCTTGTCCTCCTCTGTTGTTACATGTACGTGTACCTGGTAGCACGTGCACACGCACGTGCCATTTATACGGTCGAGTTGTCGTTCAGGCATCAAACGCAGACCCTGCCATTGCCACGTTACGGGCAAACATTGGCAGTCACCGTCGGGGCATTTCTCATTCTTTGGCTTCCCTTTCAGGTTCGTCTTTAATTTCTTTCATGGTCTTAAGTCGATGTCGTTTACTTTTATAATTAAAATGCAAATTAAAAAATATTATAATACTGACTTGTTTGAACTTCAAGTTAAAAAAATTGAAACATGTGAACTTACACATATGTGAAATTAAAAAATCATTATATGTGAACTTACACATATGTGAAATTAAAAAATTATTATATGTGAACTGACATAAACTTCAAGTAAAAAAATTGAAGAATGTAGTCTTACACATATGTAAAAAATTAACAATGATATAATATAAACTTACATGAACTGCAAATTAAAAAAATATTATGATACTTTCTTACACGAACATCATTAAAAAAATTGAAATATGTGGACTTACACATATGTACAAAATTAAAAAATGATATAATATAAACTTATATGAACTTCAAATTAAAAAAATCTTATAATATAATCTTACATGAACTTCAAATTAAAAAAATATTATAATACTTTCTTACACGAACTTCAAATTAAAAAATTGAAGAATGTGGACTTACACATACGTACAAAATTAAAAAATGATATAATATAAACTTACATGAACTGCAAGTTAAAAAAATATTATAATACATTCTTACATGAACTTTAAATTAAAAAATTGAAAAACGAAGCCATACACATATATTAAATTAAAAAAATCATTAAATATAAACTTCTATAAATTTCAATTTAAAAAAATATTATAATAGAGACATACAGGAACTTCAAATAAAAAAATTGAAAAATGTAAAAGCACTGATAAAAAAATTCATAAAAATGTAATAACATGAATTTAATATTTTGAGAGAGAGAATATGAGAAATTCAAGAATATCGTAATATAAAAATTGACTATCACGAGATCGCTATAAGAGAAACGAGATCCGCTCATTTACATAGTTACGTTCTTTTATTAAAGTCACCGTAGCTTCGGTATCCCGAATGACCTATCATTAATAAAACGGGAGCATAAATGTTACGGTGGAGAGACTGGAAGTGGTTTAACGTCAGCATTTATATGCATTGGAAAAATGATGGTTAGATGTGAAACATGGACCGCAGAGTGTTAAACTCTTTTATAGAACAGCACGCGTTAGCTTTTGTCTGACTACTGTTATTCTCGTACTACTGCCGCGTCGGACATACGCGACATCAATTCTACTTTGTCACGAGCCATATGCTCGTTGCCATCTCTGATACAGAATTTAACTACGACGCGAGCTGCATACTGAAATCGCACTTCTGTCGCAAACTACATTTCTTATGACTCTACTTTTATAAAGGGAAACGTTTCGTGATCACAAATCACTTTGCGATGCAATGGCATGGAAAATTTGCTGTTAAATTAAAGAGTTTAAGATTGATATCAAATTATTCAATTTCGATTAAATGAAATTAAATGAATTTTAAAATGAAAATTAAATTAAAGAAGTTGATTTAAATAGAATTAATTGAAAATGAAGGTACAAGTTTAAAATTGAGAATGAAAGTTCTAGTTTGAAATTGCAAATGAAAGTTCAAGTTTGAAATTGAAAATGAAAGTTCAAACTTAAAATTGAAAATGAAAGTTCAAGCTTAAAATTGAAAAATGAAAGTTCAAGATTAAAATTGAAAATGAAAGTTCAAGATTAAAATTGAAAATGAAGGTACAAGTTTAAAATTGAAAATGAAAGTTCAAGCTTAAAATTGAAAATGAAAGTTCAAGTTTGAAATTGAAAATGAAAGTTCATGTATAAAATTGAAAATGAAAGTTCAAGCTTAAAATTGAAAATGAAAGTTCAAGTTTAAAATTGAAAATGAAAGTTCAAGTTAAATAAAATAAAATCTAAAGTCAAAATTAAAATTGAATTAAAATTAACCAAAATGAAATAAAATTTTTCATTTGAATGAAAGAATTAGAATAAACGACTTAAGCATAAAAAATGATAGAAGACTATGTTTTTCATAAAAAAAGACGAATACTCCTACAGCTTATAATTTGTAATTATCAAGTACGAGAAAATTTCTCTGTTAAAAGAGAATTATAAATTCCAGGTTAATCAATTGAATTGCAAATGAATAATTAGCATACAGACAACGTCCAACATCATAAACGATATAAATACTTCATAATTTCGAGCCTTAAAAAAGCAAAATTGATTTTAACGCATTGCCTTTGGATATCGAGTTGTATGCATTTTAATAAAGCGAAATAACACTTTTGCATGTTTGATGGCCATTATAGCCGTGCAAATGTTCCTTTGTTCTAGTTCGATTAAAATACCATTTCTCTTTTAATTAAAATTTCGATCGAATCGGAACACGAATAATCGGACTATAATTTCAATTCGTTTCGCTTCCAAACAAACGGGCTGAAAATAGAACGGCACGCGAAATAACGAAATCATACGCGCAAAGAATATTTTATACACGTGATCATTTTTGCTAGTGACATCACTTTAAATTTGTAACAGAGAGAAAAATTTTAAAATTGGTGTAATAAAATATTGATCTGCGTTAATACAAAAATTTTTATTAAACCTAACCTAACCAACGTCAATATTTTGATGAGAGAACATTTTAGCGAAGAAAGTGAAGTCGTTGGAAAACAATAGATACCATCAGATAGTGACACCACATTTTAAATTTTCAAAATTTAAATATTAACAGAAAGAAATATTTAAAAATTAGGGAAATAAAATATTGATCCACGTTAATATAAAAATTGTCATAAAACCTAACCTAACCAACGTCAATATTTTGATGAGTAAACGTTTTAGCGGAGAAAGTAAGGTCGTTGGGGAACGATTGATACCGTCAGAATTGAAATGGTGACGAGGCTTTCAAGATGCGTCCATTTCTTCACCGAGAAAAGTTTCACGGAACCGAAGGGTGAAAAACGACGTAACTTTCGAAATTACGGTTGCGAACAAGTTGTTGCGGAAACGGATGCTCGGTAACCGCAGAAAGAAGCTTCGGAGAAACTCGGGAAAGCTTTCTTCCATTTGCCGACGCGGAAAAACTTTATTACCGCAATTACGAATAATTTTACCTCGCAAAGGAACACCGGTTAATTTATTGTTTTCTGAACGTAGTTTCAAGGACACTTACTCTGGACACCTAGTTCTATTTTCGCAATTTTTAAACATTGAAACTTTCTAAATTAATCATTTTCAAAAATAACATTCTTGAATTTAGATTTGTTTGTAACTTATTTTATTTTGTAAATTTTTAGAAATTCAAATTTTGAAACAACTCAGTCTAAAGAAAAGAAATAATTCTCGCTGTCATATAATAGATCGGAGATCATTCAGAAGGACACCGTATAGAAGTTCACTATTATAATTTACATGTAAATGCATCAGAAGCGTGATATTTCCACCCGTGAAAGGAATTATGTATCTTGATACAGTTGTTTGCATCAAAGGAGATTCGTAATGTTCAACTCGGCCATTTCCATATTCTATGCGGGGATGAAAACAGCCGAATGCCAAGTGCACATAGATTTTGGTTTCGTGCACGTACCACAAACGTTCATTAATGGAAGTTAAGACAAATAGCTCGTGTTCCTGACTGTATACTCATACATAACGATTCCTATTCTGGCGCACGTATGTTTATATCACCCACATAAATGGATCAAAAGATAGCGGTCACCGGAATTTTGATTCAGTTAATTCATTTACATTTGACGACCTGATACACATTTAACAAAATCAAAACTATAAAATGACAAAAATCATATTTGACAAAATTAAGGTTTCAAAAATCACATTTAACATCAATCACATTTAACAAAAAAACACCAATCACATTTAACAAAATCAAGGTTTCAAAAATGACACCAATCACATTTAACAAAATGAAGCTTTCAAAATGACAACAGTCATATTTGACAACATGAAGCTTTTAAAATAATAAAAACCACATTTGGAAAATTAAAATATTTAAAACGATAAGAATCGCATTTCATGAAGTGACCTAACGATATAAAAATTTGTTACAGACCTGCATGCTGCTAGACATCTTCTGCGGCACCAATATCCTGTCCGAATGGACAGTGGTGTGGCTAGGTCTGCCCATCATGGCTCACAGCGGCGTAAACCCGTGGATTTACGCGTTCCACCACGGTGAAATGCGAGTGGCGGCAGGAAAAATTACCGAGAAGCTAGTGGCGCTATTCGGTGTGACACCCAGCCGTTACGGTTGTTCTCCAATGAGGAGAGGTTCGAACACGAACCTGGAATTAGCGGAGGTGAACAACAGCAACGATGGACGGCGACATCCGGTGGAGGATTGTTTCGCTGCCAAACAGAACAGCGTTCTGTACGCTAGCAGAAGGTGTCTGGATGTATCCGCAAAACATACGGACATCTCTCCAGAGAGGAACATGGATCGCACTTCTTCAGGCATCAAACAGACGGACATTGTCGAGGAGGACATACATGATCTGACGAAGATGCTGGATCTGAAGTACATAATCGATCGGAACCACATGATCGACTCGAACCACAACATCGACAAGATTAAGAATATTAAATATTTGCTGGATCCAACGTTCAATAAGATTCGACACCTCCGGAGGTTGAACCGTAAAAGGCTGACTAGCAAGAACTTCTCTAAACCGTCAGAGCCGAAGTTCATCTCGTATCAGAATTTGAAGAGTGATGGCGTGTTAAAGGCGACGTCGCTGAACACCTTGTCTGATCCGGTGCTAAGCGCGGACAGCCCCATGGTGCACGCCAAGGACTTCCACGACACCCTTAGCCCCATGACCAGCAAGCGGAGGAACTCGAACCTGTGCTCCATGTCGGATTCCAACATCAAAGCGGCGACCGGTTTGTCGTCCGAGGTGAATCTGAGGATACCCAGCGAGAGGGACGTTGTGGACACCCACAGGTACTCCGTACAGAACTTGGATCACAACAGGTACGAGGGAGGGCTGGCCAAACAGGTGATGCTGTCCAGGCAGCTGGAGAATCACAGGAGGTTCCAGATACACCCTCGTCCTCGACTGAAGATCAATAATAATAGTCCGGATCTGAACTTATGGCTTCAGAACAGTTACACGTCGCCGTCGACACCCGACAGTGCGAAGTCGAGCCTGTTGAACAGTCCCAGACAGAAAACGTCGCCTAAGCATATGACGATTATCTCGAACAAGCTTGCTAATTTAGGCAACCCGGTCGACGCGAGGATGGATCCTTCGAGGATGCTGCAGATACGAAGGAACATGGAGATACTGAAACATTCCGAGTCGATCAATACCATCGAACCGATGACTCACTCGAGACTGCTAGAGCCTTACAAGGTGATGGAGACTCTGACGGTGCCCACGATACACTCGGAGCCACCGAGTCCCATAGATCCTCTGCCTCTGGCCTCCCTCGAAGAGGAGGACAGCAGGAGCACCGAGACGTCGAAGCCCTTAGTCGATCGATCGAAGTCCCCGTTGGGCAACAGGAGAAGTCCGGTTCGACACTCGGACCCTGTGATACCATCCGTCTTGCTGAACATCGAGGACTTCAGCGAGGAGGCCGAAAACACCAAAGATAAATCTAGTCAAGACAGTTCCTCGAACAATCTGACCCCGGTGGGTCACGTGCCTGGATCCAACGTTCAATAAGATTCGACACCTCCGGAGGTTGAACCGTAAAAGGCTGACTAGCAAGAACTTCTCTAAACCGTCAGAGCCGAAGTTCATCTCGTATCAGAATTTGAAGAGTGATGGCGTGTTAAAGGCGACGTCGCTGAACACCTTGTCTGATCCGGTGCTAAGCGCGGACAGCCCCATGGTGCACGCCAAGGACTTCCACGACACCCTTAGCCCCATGACCAGCAAGCGGAGGAACTCGAACCTGTGCTCCATGTCGGATTCCAACATCAAAGCGGCGACCGGTTTGTCGTCCGAGGTGAATCTGAGGATACCCAGCGAGAGGGACGTTGTGGACACCCACAGGTACTCCGTACAGAACTTGGATCACAACAGGTACGAGGGAGGGCTGGCCAAACAGGTGATGCTGTCCAGGCAGCTGGAGAATCACAGGAGGTTCCAGATACACCCTCGTCCTCGACTGAAGATCAATAATAATAGTCCGGATCTGAACTTATGGCTTCAGAACAGTTACACGTCGCCGTCGACACCCGACAGTGCGAAGTCGAGCCTGTTGAACAGTCCCAGACAGAAAACGTCGCCTAAGCATATGACGATTATCTCGAACAAGCTTGCTAATTTAGGCAACCCGGTCGACGCGAGGATGGATCCTTCGAGGATGCTGCAGATACGAAGGAACATGGAGATACTGAAACATTCCGAGTCGATCAATACCATCGAACCGATGACTCACTCGAGACTGCTAGAGCCTTACAAGGTGATGGAGACTCTGACGGTGCCCACGATACACTCGGAGCCACCGAGTCCCATAGATCCTCTGCCTCTGGCCTCCCTCGAAGAGGAGGACAGCAGGAGCACCGAGACGTCGAAGCCCTTAGTCGATCGATCGAAGTCCCCGTTGGGCAACAGGAGAAGTCCGGTTCGACACTCGGACCCTGTGATACCATCCGTCTTGCTGAACATCGAGGACTTCAGCGAGGAGGCCGAAAACACCAAAGATAAATCTAGTCAAGACAGTTCCTCGAACAATCTGACCCCGGTGGGTCACGTGCCCATGGAGCCCATCGATCTGTTCGAAGCGTTGCTGAAGAACACGGAGAGGTGTCGAGAGGGCAGACTGCCGGAGCCGATCTTCGCCGAGCACGACTCCACGAGGTTCAGTTCCAGGAGACCGTCGGACTCGAAGTGGTCGGAGTCCTCCAGGAGTCAGGAAGTGCTGTCGAACGTGGTGACCGAACACCAGTCGTTCCCTTCGTCGTACTCTGTGAACAATTTCCAAGTGTGCAACAGTGGCAGCGACCTGAACGACCTCACGTCCTTGGACCCCTTCATGTGTCCCGACGCGTTGACCTCGTCCTTGAGGGAGTCCTTCTTCAGCGCCCCATCCGTACCTGATTCCGAGATATTCACGTCGTTCGAGGAGAACGACGAGTCCATCTTCACGCCCGACTCAGAGCGCGATATGTCCCCGTACGACTCCATGTCGACCATAAACCCGAAGAAGTCGACCATCGAGGCCGAGCTGCAGAGCAAGTCCACGGAAGCGGTCTTCAGGAACAGATGCCTGTCGACCAGGTCCTGCACGATCCTACGATTGGAGCCGTCCTTACATCGAAGTAGGTTGAGAGTCAAGACGGGTGCGGATTATATTCTCAAGGACGCGTCCTTGAGGAAGAACCCACGTTTGGCTCCTCTGGCTATACCCACGCCCACCGATATTTGTACACCCACGTTCGAGTTCGTCTCGGAGATCAAAGGGGACAACGGTGTCGGGGTTCGGGTGTAGGTCTCTTCGGAAGAAGAGCTTTAGGAGGAATTATTAGGTCTGAATGTTCCTTCGATCAATCGCCAAAGGACTGGTTCGGCGAACTCTTTTTATGATGTACACTCGGCAATGTAGGCTTTCTTTGGATGAGGAATGGGGAAGGACGCGTTTCTGATGAATCTTGGAATTTTTGAATTCTCAGATCTCTGAATACTGAAATGTAATTTCTGTATTTGGGAATTGTGAAATAATTAGTGTTCCAAATTTCTTGAATTTCTGTGTTCATATTGTCGAATCTTCAAATTGTTGGATTGCCTATATCTTCAAATCCTTGTAGATCAAATACATATATCTACACATCCTCATATGTGTAAATCCTTAGATTCCCAAACCCCTATATCCCCAAATCGCTACGTCCTAAGATGACTACAGCACCTAATACTTATGTTCCAAATTCCTGTATCACTATATCACTACATCTCCAAATCTCTACGTCCCCAAGTCCTCACATCCCCAAACCTCCACATCCACAAATCTACACAACCCCAAATCCCTACACTTCCAAATCTCTACGTCTCCAAATCCCTATATCCCCAAATTGCCATATCCTAAGATTTCTACATCCCCAAATTCACACATCCCCAAATCCCCAAATTCCCAAATTCACACATCCCCAAATCCCCACATCCCCAAATCCCCAAATTCACACATCCCCAAATCCCCACATCCCCAAATCCCCACATCCCCATATCCCCATATCCCCAA